ATCGCCGGGATATTGGCGGATTTGTTCAAGCCGGCGCGTACCGGAGCATTGGAGACTGACGACCTTGGTCTCGCGAGGGAATAGCTCTTCGTTCTGCAGGTCGGCGAGGGTGAGACGCTTGGGATTGTTGACGAGACCATCAATTTCGAGGAAATACTTATCAGCATCAATCTCAGGAACGCCGCCATGGTTGCGGACGAAAAAGTCTTCGTTGCGGGTGATCTCGGTTGAAACAAGACGGTCCTGGACGCAGGTTAGATACGACATCTTCTCTCGATAAGATCAAAGGCCATCAGACTTACTCCGGGGGGCTCTCCGTTGTATGGAAACTGGAGGACATGCACCATGTCCTCGGCCTTTTCCTTGAGCACATACTGCCAGCTGGTGTCGACCAAATGGCCGAGGCCCGTAGCATAGTGGTACTGTTTGAACCGCTCTCCGGTCAAGATGGGATTCGTCTTGGGCAAAGGAACAAGCTGGAATTCAGGAGGGTCGGGAAAGTCATATTGCTTCAGGATCTCCTCCACCTGCTTTTTCTTCTCGGGATACTTTTCCCATTCAATGTATCCCTTCCAACCTTCCAATTCATCCTCGAAATGGGGTAACTTGCCCTTTGGGCGAAATGGGGGTGCGTTTGGCTCCGCGGGTGCCATGCTGAAGAGCGAGCCGTGAGTTTAGTGTTGTTGGACAGGCAAGGTAGCTACCTATGGAGAAGGAGAGAGAAGAGACACGGTCCTCCGTCGAGAGGGGAAATGGTCATATAGGTAGAGGTAGGTATACATATGCCCCTCTTCCCCTCTTTCCCTCTTTCCCTCTTCCCCATAACCCGCACAACCATTAGCAGCAACGCCGTTGATGGAGCCGCGTCAGGCGCATTCTTGTTTGGCCTTTGAGAGGATAGTCAATGGCAGGATCCGGATATGGGTCTTGCCAGAGTAGCTCGCCCAGATGTCCCGATTCGCGGGGTGGGAGCGATTGCCTTGCCGGACCTTGACCCGAGCGTGCCGAGAAGAGGCTAGTCGACCAAAGTAGCTTGTTTGATCTCAAAGGGGATGCTGTGCATCGTGAGGCCGTTATGCTGAGTAACAGGGTTACGGCTGCATCATATCCTGCGACTGGGTGGAGGATTTGCCCGGATCCAATTGGAAAACGGGGTGGTGATATCACCATGTCGTACACAGACCGGACATGGACAAAAAGTGACGGCCCACTCGCAGAGGGTCCAGAGATAAACAAACCCAAAAGCGAGTTATTCCCGAGCCAACCGCGCCAGCAACATCCGAGAGCTTTGACCGACAGACTATGTATGCATTGCCCCTAGTATCGCCTTTAGCAGAAACGTAAATTGATCAGTATTTGTCTATCCAACAAGTCCCCTACCATCTATAAATGAGCCCATCCGTTGTGCACAATGACCTGCATTTCATTGATGAGACAAAATGGTCCAGGTTCCTTGCGACCTTCCGCTTTCTCGGCCCACTTGCGAATACGCCAGCGAACCTGCAACTCTTTGAGAAGAGGGGTGGTGAGCCATCTTGCGACCCTGTTCTTCCACAGGCCAGAAAAGACTTGGGACAGAGAAAGCCAGCCTCCTGGCGGATGCACTGCATCGTACGCCTTTCTAGAATATCCCACGCGGACGTTGGGGTTAAGGAAGACGCCCCTGGTACGTGACGCCGGGTTGTCCGCATGGATGAGACAGCACTCGGAGCCCTCCAGATGGTATTCGGCCAGTGTGTCGTCGATTCCCCGAAATTTGAGGCCTTGGACTCCAGTAAACACAGACGGGTGCATTGCGACAATTCCGTTCCAACAGCTTGACACTGGCACGGGAGCACCGCGGAGCACCGCTTTTCTGGAGTTGGAGGACCGGAAGTACGGCCAGGTCTGGGTCGCGTATTCGTGACCGCCTGAATCTCGCAGGGCAAAGGTGTCGTAGAAGCGAGGCGGTTTGCTGAAATCGAGCGAGCACGCTGCAGCGTATTGGCCGTCGTTTGTGTTTAGCAGAGCCACGATATCCGGAACCTGCAAAGAAGAATATTAGCGAGGGGATTTTGAAGACAGGCGCAAGTGACCAACAAGACTCACCGAGAACACCACGTCGCCCAAGAACAACACGTAGTCAAATGTGGTCCCGTTCTCTGCCATGTTCAACAGTGGTTGAAGGGAAAGATTCCGCATGCCAGCCAGGTAAGGTATCCTCCTCAACCTTTTTTCACCACTAGGGGCGGTAATCCATCCATGTTCGGCTGGCGGTGCGTCTATGGCGTCTTGATGCGTTTCCTTGTCGAGCGTGATCTGCCGCTGAACCCCAAGTCTGCCCAGGTCGCGGTCCAGCTCCCGGAGAGCACCCTTGGAATCATCCCAGCTACCGCTCTCGTAGACACTGACAAAGACATTGTCAGCACCCAGAGCCTTGGTCAGGTCCACGACCGCCTTGTTCCAGTCGGAGCGCAAGATGGCGGCGTTGTTCCAGTGCAGGCTCGCAATGTACACACGGGTCGGCTTGAGAAGCGTCGTAGCTTGGGCTTGGGTGTCTCGCTCGGCATGGGCGACTCGGTAGTATATGAGCTGAGCCTCGACAATGGTCCATACGATGAAGGCGGCAATCAGCTTCCGGATGGTGGACCGCGACACGAGCTGGCGTTGGAACCGCGATCGGGGCAAGGTCACCGGCATGGTGCCGTTCGTTTCATTCGAGCGCAGACACTGAAAGATGTGTGAATGAAGTCGGCGGACGGTGGCCGAGAGCCATTGCAGAACGTACAGTACAGAGTCCGGAGTCCTGCGAAGTTGTGCGGCTCGAGAGGACAGCGAGTCCAGTGCCTGGTGTTTACCTCTCTCTACTGGGCGGTGGGATGAGCGGGAGCTTCCACTTCCTCTGTCGATAGTTTACGGCCAAGCTTCCTTCGTGTCTGGGCTGTTCGTTAGGTTGTTCGGTTCGTGGCACCATCAGCGCTGTCAGGGCGGGGGCATAGGTACCTAGACTACTGCCTGCCCGGGCAGTGTGTAGCATGTACGTATCCAGGGGGCAATGTGTGGGTGGAGCGGGACACAGCCGCAGTCGGTTGGTGCCTGGCATCCCTTAGCACTAACCCCAACATCAACCCGACTGTCAAACACTCATCAACCGAGGCGATGCAAAATATTGTACAAGTAGTACGGTCGACTTGAAGGATCAGATCAGAGTTGCAAGACACAAACAACGTACAATATAAGACTGGTATGTTTGTTAGTTTGGTTCTTCGGCCATAGGTTGAACAGGGGAGATATACAATTTAACCCTGGTTTGTTTGTTAGTTTGGTACAAGGAACGCCCATTTCCACTCTCAGACTACTAGAATAGAAAAGCATCCGGGTTTTGAGCGAACGGGTGCCGTAGGGGACTACTATTTTATATTTTTTTAGTCTTTGAAGGCTTTGGAAGACCACGGAGAGAGGCATGAGAAGGCTTCTGTGGCGTTTTCCACCCTAGCTATTGTCCCATGACGCTTCAAACGGAGGCTAGTTTCTGTCTTTGGAGGCCAATGAGAGCTCCAGATTTTCCCTGTTCAGCCCATGGCCGAAGAACCAAACTAACAAACAAACCAGTATTGAATTGTAGAGCTCTTATTGGCTTCCTTAGAGTTTTCGTTTGGAGCGACCAACAATGACCAGGATGTAATACGCCACAAAAGCCTCTGTTTATGCCTCCATCCGTCTCCTTGAAGGCCTTCAAGCTTGAAAAATATAAAGGAAAGAGTCCCCTTTCAGTGCCTATCTGTTTGAAAATCGAATACTTCCTCACTTTCCGGGGCTCTCAAGTGGAGATGGGCGTTTTTTTGTACCTAACTAACAAACATACCAGGGTTAGATTGTATGGCACAAGCTGAGTGTCTCAACCAACGACTGACTGAGAAGGCGATGGCATCGTGTTATTCCCCGCATCCTTGGCAGCATAAAGCCGTAACCTCGGGCCGGTTCACGAGAAAGTCTCCTTTCCGTCCGCTTCCAATCATGGAGTCGAAAGACCATCCCGACCGCGCAAGACCCAGTTATCACGGGATTGAGTCCAATTATCTCTCATTCCTTGCCAAACGGGCAGTTCCGAGAGTGGAGAAGTCGAACTGAGTGCTTACATGTGTGCAGCCGGCCTGCGAGAGGCCCTCACTTCGACCAAAGTCACTTGAAGTACGAAGCTGATCATTGGAGCTCCATGTAGGAGCTATGCGGTGTCGCTGTCGGCCAAGGTCGGGCCTCTTGCTACGGATGGACGTCCGGGTCAGCTACCGGCATTATCGTCGAGTGATGTGACGGCGGCCTGCCTTTGCCAACACAAGCGCGCAAATCAGGATCGGTGGAGCGGAGATATATGGTCCAGCCAACCGCTTCAACCCCAATGGGACTTCTGTGTTTGGCCTCTGGCAGAATGCTCAAGTTTGTTGCTGAGTGTCTGCTGGCAGGTTGGGATGTTCCTATTGAGAGATGATTGCGAGACACGCCAAACCAGCCAGCGAAGCAATGTTGCTGTACTGTTACCGTCGCCATACCTACCGCTCAGGCTCATAGAGTGTACCTATGGAGCCGAGCCTTGGTGTTACCTAGAGGCCAAGGCAAAGTATGTACAGGTCTGCTTGTTGGTATCTGTTCCTTGAGGTATCGAGAGGTACAGAATACAGGAAAATTAGCAGGTCCGTATCAGTACAGGCGATACACCTTCCGTGTAAGTGTACCGTCCCCGACCTTCAACATCCAGGCAGAAATGGACACCCAACACTATATAATGGACCTTTTTACCTAGCCCACCACTTCATCCGGCTCATCTGACTACTCGCCTTTCTCCCTTCAACATTGTACAGCCGAATTGGTCATTCCAGATCTCGTCGTAAGGGCAACTTGCACACGGATTAGGCCTTCTTGCCTTGTTTCTAAGCTACACCCAAGGGTCCTGTTGTCTGTCACCGACACTCGGCGAGCTAATCCGATTATTCTACGAAGCGCCACTCGCTAATCTGGCCAGAATGGCTGGTCCCGATGATTCCAGCGAGTCGCCTGGTTACGGCACAGACACTGGCGACAACCACCTGAAGAGCTGGTTCCGATCGTTGTCCCCGACAAAGGTTGACATTGTCGGCGATTTCACCGGCAAAGAGCGCTTTGCCATTCATGGAGAAGCCCTGCTTGCACATTGTCTTCATGCCATGAAAGTCGACTTTGACTGTGTGTTTGACCCCATCCGCGTCCCTCATCTCTAGGGTTTGTCCTCATTGCTAACCACGGGTTAATTGTACAGACGGCTTCCAGATTCTCCATGCCGTTCATTCAGTTGAGACTCTTCTCCAGAGGCTGCATGATCGAGGATGCAACTTTCACGTCCTCTGGTTCAATCGAGAGTATCAACTGTCCATCCCCACGGAAACACCGGCCGAGATCACGTACCGATACCAGCTCACTCGAAGCATTCTGATCGAGCACTTCGCTCACGCACAGACTGACAAACAGACCGTTTTCAGTCTTGTATTCACGAGCCTGGACAGCAATTCTTTCGCTCAATATCTCCAAGAACATCATCCGCACTTTTTCTTGGGATCCAATGGTACAACGCCGTGGTGGACGGGTGGCCCGCAACTTCTGGTGCCTCTTCACATGCTGTACCGTATCAATTCAGCAGGATTGCATATCGCGTGCGTTGAGAACCTCGAGTTCAAGAGCTCAAGGGCTTTCCTACGGGTAGCCTCTCCCAGAGGGGCGCAAAGACCGCTCAATGGCGACACTCTTTCTCCGATTCCCGACACTTCCTTCAAGGAGGACAGTATTCAGCATCGTCTTGGAGGACTCACCAAGACGCACAGCCTAACTGCTCGAGAAATCATATCCCTGTACTCACTGGCTCATGTGCTTGCCAACCATGCGCTCGATGTCAGTGAGGGCAACGAGATTGGGCAGCACGTTAAAGCACTGCTCCTCCAGCTAGTCTTTATGAGACACTGCAATGTTTCGAGCCGGAGCTTTGAGTCGCGGGGATCGGGACTCGCGATTGGCAGCGCCGCCAATTCTTTCATTTGTTCCTTGTCTGAGCCGGCTCAACGCATTCTTGGCTCGTGGAGTTTGGGACCATTCGCAAACTCAGCATGGGATGCATTTGATCTCATTGATGGGCGGCTCTACCTGGCATTGCTACGTTCTTCACACAACATACACCTGTCCTGCGCTCTTCACGAACAGTTCGTCCAGCTCGGTGGACTACTCGAGCAGCTCTGTGGCTACGATGCCATTGCAAAGTGGCCGGTCGATCTGACGGATACCGATGGAGAAAAAGCTCGCTTGAAGATCAGCGATCCCCAACCTAATCAGTTGGTACCGTCGCTGTCGATACTGCCTTTCAGCCATCCCGTTCTGGACAAGTATCTTACTTCAGTGCACCTACGTACAAATGCTGTCATCTCCTCTCCAGTTGACCACAAAGTGCACAAAGAGCTGACGCATTGGCACAATAAAAAGCCAATTGACCCTAAGCAGCCCACCAAGGCTCCTGACTTTTGGGCAAGACGACGAAACCAACGATTCATGGCCGACATCATTGCCTACTCTGCTAGTCTTACCGGTGCATCTGGAAAGATTATCGAACCGGAAACTGTTGTTGTACGCAAGCCCGCTAGTAGGCATGCACTGAACAAGAGCAAGAAACACGCAAATTCCAACAAACCCCTGGAAAAAAGTGGCACGCAAGACGCTCATAAAGAGGCAGAACGGCTCAAGGAAGCCAAGTTTCAGGACAAATCCTCGGCAATCATCACCTTCTGGAAAGGAAGGTGTCTCGAGTTCTCAAAGGAGGCATCTCTGGTTAAGCGATATCTGCTGGTCTCGAAGTATTTCTTGGGCTTGAGTTCAGATCATTTGTCTGTGATTGGGGCGGAAGTCTCCCTGTACCTTTGCCATATTCTACGCCAAATCCAAGGTCGCTACAACCCGGACACGATAACTCGTAAGTGATAACCTTGAAGGCTGTCTGTACACTTCAGCAATTTTTATGCAGGCGCTGACTCTTATGCACATAGACTACCATGTTTTGGCCATGCTTTGGTCCCAAATCCAGGAGACCGCCAAATTGACCTTGACCAAAGAAGTCCACACCCTCGTGAACAGAGTTTCAAGGTCTCTCAAACTCCCCCTATACGAGAAGCCGGGGCTCCCAAAAAGAAAGCTGCCATTTGAGTTCCTGGATATTGCGAGCGGGGGTTTACTGCCTCCTGGAAAGTCTTCGCTTAACTTCCAGCTCGAATTTTGTGGACCGTTCCTAGAACGAAGTTTCGACTCGGCCCCAGATCCTCGTGTGCCTTTTGAGCCCGATGCCTGGCAGAGAAAGGTACTTGACGCCATCGATGAGAACAAGAGTCTGCTCGTGATTGCCCCAACGTCGGCTGGCAAGACGTTCATCTCATTCTACGCTATGAGGAAGGTCCTCGAAGCCAACGACGACGATGTACTAGTGTACATTGCCCCGACCAAAGCTCTCGTCAACCAAATTGCCGCCGAGATCCAAGCCCGATTTTCTAAGCAATATAGTCAAGAAGGACGGTCTATCTGGGCTATTCATACTAGGGATTACCGCATCAATAATGTGAAGGGATGCCAAATCCTTGTAACCGTCCCGGATATCTTGCAGATTCTTCTGCTGGCTCCTTCCAACGCAGCAGGCCCAACGTCTTTTTCCCGGAGAATAAAGAGAATCATTTTCGACGAGGTTCACTGTATCGGCCAGTCCGATGACGGGATTGTTTGGGAGCAACTTTTGCTGCTTGCACCATGTCCCATCATTGCGCTATCGGCCACCGTGGGAAACCCCCTCGAATTCCGAGACTGGCTTTCCAATGCACAGAAGGCCAAGGGGTTTGATATGGAGATGGTGGTACATTCATCCAGGTACTCAGACCTCCGCAAGTTCATCCATGATCCGTCTCCCGGTACATATGAATTCGAAGGCCTCAAACCCGTTGAACGTCTCCCATTTCCTGGACTAGACTCTGATTGCAAGAATTCGTTGCCATTCTCGTTTATACACCCAATCGCAGCTATCATGGATAGGTAAGTAATATCGTGCGATCATGTATTGACATACCGTTACAGTAAGTTCTCACGCTAAGTCACAAATAACAGGAGCCGGGACACGCTTAACGATGCCAGTCTTGAACCTCGGGACTGTATCGAGCTTTGGAAACACATGACCAAACATCAGATTGGCCAGTATCAAGTTCCAAACCCCCTGGATCCTAAGAAAATGTTGCCGTCACTCGTCAAAAAATCCGACGTTACAAAATGGGAGTCGGCTCTCAAGGACGTCTTGGCTGACTGGATGCTTGACCCCAACTCCCCGTTCGACGAACTTCGAAACGATTTGCGTGGAGAACAGTTTGCTCGCCTGTCATCAACGTACAATCAACCCGAATCCATCGAATCCCAGACTAGTCAATCTGGACCTATTGTATCCAGACGTTCCATATTCTCACTTGTGACTGATCTTAGGTCGCACGGAGCATTGCCTGCCATCATCTTCAATTACGACCGGGTTGGCTGCGAGACTGTTCTTCGAGAACTCTACGACACTCTTGAGTCCGCGGAAGCAGCATACAAGCAACACGATTCAAAGTGGCTTAAAAAGCTGGCGGGCTTCGAAGAATGGAAGAAACGCCGCGAGAGCGCAAAAACGAAGGACACAAAGATGAAGCAAACCAAGAAGACCGGCTCGAGAAATGAGGACGAGGATGGCGCAATGAGTAAAGGAGACCGAGCCCGTGACGTAGCAAATCGAGAACTGAGCGTTTGGGACAGCTTCGACCCAGAAGCCCCCCTTCAGCAATTCAGCTTTGCTGATAACACCAAACTGACACAGGAAGAGCTGAATACGCGATTGAAGTCACTCAGGGCGGATGCCGTCCGTCCTTGGATCCGAGATGCTCTCTTCCGAGGAATCGGCGTACACCATGCAGGGATGAACCGCCAATATAGACAGATGTAAGTCTTTTCACTGGTTCAACGAATCCATCCTTGACATTTTTTTTTCTCACTGACTGATCCGTGCTGCTAGAGTCGAGATGCTTTTCCGCAAAGGTTATTTGACTGTGGTCGTCGCAACCGGGACACTTGCCATGGGTCTCAACATGCCTTGTAAAACAGTGGTCTTCACCGGCGATTCAGTTTTCCTGACCGCTCTCAACTACCGTCAAGCCTCGGGTCGTGCTGGCCGGCGTGGCTTCGACCTCCTTGGAAATGTTGTCTTTCATGGCCTCCATCCGCACCGGGTTTTTGAAATAATGTCTGCGAGGCTTCCGGATCTTCGCGGGCAGTTTCCAACATCGGTCACGCTCATCCTACGGCTCTTCATACTTCTACACGGAACGCAGAACTCTGAGTTTGCAGCCAACGCTGTAAAGGGTTTGCTGACACAAAGCAGACTCTGCTTGGGCGGACCTGATGCGAAAATGTCGATCGCACATCATCTCAGATTTTCGATTGACTACCTCAGACGCCAACACCTGTTATCCGAAAACGGTGTCCCTCTCAACTTCTCTGGCCTTGTGGGACATCTGTACTACACAGAGAATGCTGTCTTTGCATTCCATGCCCTTCTCAAGGACGGATACTTTCACGACCTTAGTAACAGCAATCGAAGCCGGGAAGACGTCATCCTTGAAATCATGCTCGTCTTGAGCCACTTGTTCTGTCGCCACGCTTGCCCCCAATACAAAGACAAGCAGTTCCTCGAGCGTGTACATCGCTCTCCGTGTGTTGTAATTCTCCCAGATCTCCCCAAGAAAGCAAGTGAGGTCCTAGAGCGCCACAATCAGCAGACCTTGTCCATTTTCCAGAACTATGTCAGCTCTTATACCAATCAACATCTGACCGGGATGCCGGACAACTGTCTTCCCTATACCAAGTACAAGGTTGATTCTGTCGATGCTCAACCAACGCCGGACCTGTCAGCTATGCTCCCCTCGTCTGACTCACCTCGGCCGCCCACGGTTGTTCGATCTCCATTCTCTGCACTCTCCGGCTTTACGGACGAATTTGACACTATCCACGAGCTTTGCGAGACTGTCCGCGCAGGCGTGTTTCTTGAAGAGTCTGCAGTCCCGTACATTCCGATGGCACCAAAGGAAACGAATGGAGTGCCTTGGAACGCCTACCTTTATGACTTCTTCAAGCATGGAGATATGGAAGCACTCAAGCATGTCAACATGATCAAGGGTGGCGATATCTGGTACCACCTCAAAGACTTTTCGCTCATTCTTTCCTCAATTGTGACGAGCCTTGCCAATTTTCTGGAGCTTCCAAATGCCGACGGTGATTTCGGATTTGAGGAGGAGGAGGATGACGAGATTGAGATGGCAGATGATGATAGACCTATCTTTAGCGGGGATGAGGGGAATGGGATAAGGCATGATGTCTGCGGCGCTCCCGCTCCACCACCGCAGAAGGAACAGAAGAAGACCAAGGCGAAAAAGAAAGTGGTTGCCGAGTCATGGGATGACGAGGGCAGCGATGAAGACACAGAGGAGGACACGAAAACGGCCAGTCACGGTGCTTCGTGGTCCGATTCAGCCTCTGGCTACCCTCAGGCGCCCAGATGGGCTGACGACGGCGGTCAGTCGTTGATGGAGGTCTTCCGATATTTCTCGGTACTTCGACAGGAGTTTGAAGAAAAATTCCGCAAGACATTTGCTTGAGGACTGACTTTTCGTTGCTTTCTCCAAGGAAACAATGACGAGCAGAGTCCGGAAATACGCAGCGTCGGTGTAAATTTGAAGTTACAATCTCGGGGTTCTCTTCTTTTCCGTGGCGTGCTTGTGATGGAATTAGATCTGGCTTCATATTAGGGCCATGGCTACATTATCCTCTAGATATGCTCAAAGTGAAAAAAAGTCCGATGCAGGAATATCAATGTATAAGCATTCCCCGAAAGTCTTTGTCCGTAGCTGTTTCTGGATTGCCCCATTTGGTCCGGATGAACTGCACCTCCGGAGCTCGCATTCGGATTTTGAACGTTAGCATAAGCAAGTCGATCATTACCGAAACTTCTTTCTCGTCATTTTCCGGACATCTCAACTTCCGTGCTCGCAGTGACGACACCGGTGGACGACAAAGATACCGCTCTACCCCAATCTTCTCGCAGCGACATATTGCCATAAAGGAAAACGAGGGCAGCTGGGGCAATATCCAGCAAAGCTCTCTGACCGAGCCGTCAATATCACAGCAACCGACCGCGGTCTAGATCTGGATCAGTAGAAATCACCACACCTCAATACCAACCACTTACGTAGTCGCGTCCTCAAATGACATCAGTAAAATTCTCAGTAAATCGTGTTTTTGCCCGCACACCACCTTCACAACAACAGCCCGCGGTCATTTCAAAGAATAGGTAATGATGATGACTACCTCTATCCAAGGTTAATTGGAGGAACAAGATGGGTAAAGCTCACAAAGTGCGTGACGTCGCAGGAAGAATGAGAAGAATATCCCCCAGATCGTCAATACTTTCCCCATGGGGAGAATGACGAGGCAACATGGTGTGTATGGCTCATTGTCTTGGAGCTGATCATACGCGAGACATGCCTCATTCCCGTGAGCCGCGCCACGGATCGTTTCAGGAAGCGTGTGTTTGGGTGTGTGGCGTGAGAAATATGAGCTCAGGACTCAACGAGAGAGGAGGAAGGAATGCAAAGAGGAGATATTAGGGACAAGGATGCTGAACTTAAGCACATCGATGGTTAAATAGTCTGCTCGGCCCCTGTACATCTTCGCTGACAAGATACCAGCACAGGACATCGCATGAAGTTGGGCGGTTCATCAATTATAACTTGGTCAATTTGCAATCCCTTCAGTACCTACGTCAAATCCCAAAGCCGAAGCAAGCAATACAATCGGAAAACCAGTGAACAGAGGAACAGCATCAGCAGCAATGCTTCACTCATCCATCCTCGCCATCACGGCTCTCTTCCTCTCCGCGACGACATCCGTCATCGCCCTCCCAGCAGCTGAAGCTGACTTGGCGGCTCTTGAACACGACACCGCTGATGTCGCCGCCCATCTGCTCAAGCGTGCTTCGCCTGGCCCAACCGACACCACCTTTATTAAGAACGTTCTTAATACCGTCAACCCCATTAGGTCCAAGTACAAGGCCAACCCCCTCGCTTGGGATGCCACGCTTGCGAGCTTTGCGTTGAAAAAGTCCAACGGTTGTATGCTCAATCATACGGTATGTTCGACTTTAGTTTCCTCTTTTCCATCTCTCTCTCTCTCCATCTCCCTCTCTTCCTACCTCATCATCCTTCTATCCTCCCCTCCCATCAATCCATCTTCTCACTAACCAACCAATCAACCGCACAGGGCCCCTATGGCGAAAACGCCTACTGGTGGTGGACCATTCCGGCAACGAGCACTCCCAACTTTGCTACCACCGTCACCAACGCCTTTAAGTCCTGGACCTCCCAGGCGGAGATTTCCGCCTACCAACAAGGTGATCTGCTCGGCGGCGGCCACTTTACGCAGACGGTGTGGAAGGCGAGTACGCGAATTGGGTGCGCGTTTAGCACCAATAGATGCGTGCAGAATCCGAATCAGGATTGGTGGTTTTATTGCGAGTTTTCGCCTAGGGGGAATTTGGTGGGTGCTTATCCTGGGAATGTCACGGTGGTTTGAATGAGATGTTTTGAGAATGTGGGAGGGAGGAGGAGAGGTGAAGGGAGAGACAGTAGTGATAGGGTAGATGCTCCAGAGTACGGATGCGAGGAATGAAAGGGATGGGTTGGAGGGAATGGTAAAAAGGAAAAGAGCGGGAGGGAGCGCGGTTGATGGTGATGTAGTAGAGAATGGAAAGGAGGGAATGAGATGGAGGGTTAGGGTTGAACACGGCAGCAAACTCGAAGGTCAAGCACATGAAGATTAAGCAGGAAGTGCTTCTGGACGGGTATGTATAATTTGTGGGTTATTTGACATTATTCTACCTCGTAAAGTTGCTTTTTGACTGAGAACTTTTGGTCAGAGTGAAGTTGTTTGAAGTGAGGTTTCACCTTGCTGTTGGGCAGTTCCTACCCGACCACATGGTTCATCAAGATATTGGAAGTGGGTGGATTACCACTCTTTGCCGTGTGTTCAGGGTCCTACTGCTGAAAATTCGCAAAGCATCCTTCACCAACAGCAGCTTGGTGGAAACAAGACAAGGCAAGTCAAGCCGGATTAGTCTCGGTTCCTCACAAGCGGCTGACTATACTAAATGGGCTGGGCCGCGCGGGAGAAGATCGACTGCTGGGATGTTTTATTTCCTCACGGCGGTCAGTGGGTGGTTGTAAGCTGGGGGGAGCTCCTCAAGGTAGTGTACACTAGACTGGGCTGAGGCCTGGTTTTGGTTAACATGGTCCCAAATAGGTATGTAGCGTTAGCCGCAAGTGTTTTCGTAGGTTTGATAGGACAGTAAACCAATATCAAAGCAACTCGGTGGCACAAAGAGGGCGTTTGGTTACACCCGACACCATGGAGAGTGATATTGATCCGGGATTTCAGGAACAAAAGTGAAAAGGACTGCGGCTGCGCGGTTCAAGGCGGTGCACTGCTGTAGTGTACATGAAACGGAAGGGAAGGAAGGTGCAAAGTGACATCACTGTTGGTCGACCCGCAGCCGACAAATGCGCACCAATCAAATCCCACGGTTGCCTGAATGCCAGGGGCCCTTTGGGTCCACTTGGATTTCCTCCACCAATAGGTGGTGGGCGATTAGGTTGTGCAGTCGAACCCCCTGAAACTGCATCCACCAGATACTGCATATATGCCAGTTAGAGCATAAGAATCAGCGGTCTGAATTAATTCTCAGCTACAACTGTATAACTGCATACTGCATATGAATCTCGGACAATTTTTGGTGCGTATGCACTTACAGACTTGGTCTTGAGCGGGAAAATCTATAGTATAGGGTCGGATTTTAGTGTCTCGGCCACTGGTTGACTGCCTATTTGGGCCTAGCTTCAATCTAGAAACTGCATAGATGCTACTTAGTGCATAGAAATCCCAGGTCTGAATTACATGCAGTTTCAGGGGGTTCGACTGTGTTTGACATGCGCTGTCAGCCTTGTGTGTCTGTCACCAAAACCGTCCCGTCTTGTCCACTTTCATCCCTCTTCTCCCTTGTTGAGGCTCTGACCTGTGTTTACATTGATTGCCCAGATACGAATCCGACCGCTCAAATCTCAGCAGTATTTCAATATTCCGGTGTGTATCAACTTTAGCAAGCAAGCCCTACCGATCTAGATCTTTCGCTCACATTTTACCATCACGGTTTTAGACTTGCGTCAACGAACCACACGCTCAACCTTGCGAACCGAACCTCTGTATACAAACGAGACCCAAACAAATTTCACATCAGCGACCACGAACATGTCATCGAACCCAACCGAGAACGACATCAAGCCAAATGGCGTCGTCGAGACAGGTACGCCACCACTGCCCCAATCACGCATTGAGGTCTTGTCGCCCGACACGTACTGATTGTGAAGGTCAGATCTGGGAATTGTTCCCGTTCCCAAGGTGGAGGGCACTTGGACGGTAGACAAGGCAGTTGAGACCATCAGCACCGGGAAATACCCTGAAGGATCCGACTCACCAATTGGCTACTTCCATCTCCTCGAGCGCCTCAAGACTACCAAGCGCGAGGGATGGACGCGGTTTGCCATCAACCGGTAAGCGCCTTGCCTTGACTCCAAAGCCATCCATGTTATAGTGGACTAACCGACAACTGTTCACAGAGGAGAGTCCATTTCCGACCACATGTACAGAATGTCCATGATGACCATGCTCGCCCCCGCCTCCCTTGCTGAGAAGATCGACGTCAACAGGTGCATCAAGATGGCCCTGATCCACGACATGGCCGAATCCCTTGTCGGCGACATCACCCCAGTTGACAACGTTCCAAAAACGGAGAAGAACAGACGTGAAGCCTCGACCATGGACTACATCACAAAGAGGTTGTTGGGCAATGTCGACGGTGGAAAGCAGGGCGAGCAAATACGTGCCATCTGGCAGGAATACGAGGATTCCAAGACGCTGGAAAGTCTCTTTGTCCACGACATTGACAAGATCGAACTACTCTTGCAGATGGTGGAGTACGAGAAGCGCGCAAAGGGCAAGCTTGACCTGGGCGAGTTCACCTTTGTCAAGACCAAGGTCGGACTTGACGAGATGAGGGTCTGGGCGGATGAGATTATCAAGGAGCGCGAAGAATTCTGGGCGGGAAAGGAGCATGTTCGTCGTGACGGGGGTGATGAAGGAGTCATTACGCAGGAAAAGGAGCAGATGCAAGAGGCATACTATGCCGGCCATGGGCGGAAGGAGTAGAAGCCGACGGCCAATGATCTTGAAATCACTTTTCGCTGTTTACATCGGCATTAGAAGACTTGTGGAGTGGATGGGAGTTATGGGATCTTAGGCGTTCGCATGGGATTGTGGTTACCTATGGCATCTGAAAGGGCGCTGTCGCATTCGACGTGGATTTGTAGGTATGGAATACCCAGGCGGAATCGGACGGTTTACGCCACCGTCATGATATCATACAAGAGAAGCATGAATTAGCTAATCTAGCATACCTGATAGAACGGCAACGTTAGCATTAGAAATCACGATTTTTTTTTTTCCTTGGGTTTCAAGTTGCCTCTTCACCCCAGTAGGCAAGATGTTACCTCTATGACGGCGATAAGGTGATCCCGTGCTGGTCGGCTGCCGGGTAGTGGCCCCCAAATCGCTGCGCCAACCCCACTGAACTTACAGCGCCAACGGCCCGTGACAGCGCTGTTTGGTTAGCGCAGGCCGTGGAGTTCAGATTTGTTGACCTTCGCCAACTGCAGGGGGTGAGGGGCTTCGTTCACATCTCCAGAACGGGATCCTCGCCCCGGTCATTGATCAGGAGACCCCTTGATCAGGTTCGGATTCCCCTTTCCTGACTCTCATGCGATCAATATCGACCGCACCTTGTCGTGAGCTCAAAATCGCTCGAGTTGACAACCGCCACCTCATCTTCTCTTTAACCAGTCGACCTTCGACTTGCTCGGTTTTTGTTGCGCCAGTCCAAGGTTCCGGTCGGTCGGTCCAAACCTTGATCAGTCAGAAGCAGAGCAGCCGTCACAACTGAACTGGAAGGCGATCATACAACAGCCAAGCCTGCGCTCAGCTACGATAAGCCTCGAAATTGTTGACCGCCCCCTCTCCGATAATCCGACACCCCGTCCACATTCACGCAATCTGGATTGCCGTAGCTGGGTTTGAGAGAGTGTTCGACGCCGTGCTTCACTTTTTTTTCGATTCTCCGAACAACTATTTGTCGGCCTGGTGTCCATCCGACGCTTGGGAAACAACACTAAACCCAACCGTCCTTTTTCTTTTCGCGCTGCGCGTCGCATACATATTTCCCTCCAAAGGCTGTTATCGCCGTCCGATCTCTCACCGACTACCTACGCCTGGTCCCGATTCCAAGGAGTCGCCCTGGGCTTGTCTCTAACTTCTTGTCTCTCCGTCTCAGCTCTGATCGCCCTCTGCTCTCTTGAGTCTGTGCGACTTTGGGGAGACACCCGCATACATTCCTTTCATACAACTTTGCTCCCAAACGGCCGCCTTTCCTACCACCCCGAGCAGTTGGGTGAGGGCTCACAGTGCTCGACAATCGATAGCTCAGGCTCCTGATACCGTTTACCCCGCGATCGCGCGCCTCGCCGCGGCCACCTCCTTACTCCAACTCGTGCGCACCTGTCCACGATCGTCCGAAGAGACAATCACCGAGGCAACAAAAAAACAGGGCCGAGATTTTGATTTGGACCCCTCTGAGCAGTCTGGGCGACGCACAATTGGACCCTGGCCGCCGGATTACCATGCAGAGACGCTCCTGCGGCAAGCACAGCATCCAGACTCGACAACCATTGGACCGAACGAACCACTCAGCAACGCAGTCACCGTTGCGGTCATCGAATCGTCATTCTTGACTTGGCTAGCCCCAACGCTAGAACTGTCTTAACGCACCGCGACCCATCGAAATCTACCCAACCTGCATCGGCGGCTCATTGAATGAAACCCCGTCGCATTTCTCGACCTTGGATAATCAACCCACCATGTCCTTCGGCCCCGATTCCCTTCCCGGTGGTTACTTTGAACCGGGCGGCGAAAACCCATCGCAAACCCTAAGTGCTGGGATCTTCCGGCCGCCAGCATCGCCGGCCGATTCGAACCACAACCTCGGCAAGTCCAACGGTAGTCTCTACGACATAGCCATGTCCAACGGGACAAGCCCCTCACAAACACCAGAACAAGCAAATGCGAAGCGGAAGCGTTTGGGATTGGGTGTCCAGGGAGCGACCCCGAACGATCACAACATGCAGGTGGATGGCGTGAACGACGGAAAGGCAGAGACAGGAATGACGGATGCGGGCCAAGCAAGATACAACTTGGCCGGCCAGCTGAATGCTACCCCAACAGGCGGCACCTTCACGGTCAACGGTAGGCTGGAAGAGAGCATGTACTCTGATCTAGACTACAGGAGAGCCGCAGGCTCCAAGCGAGCCCATGACGACCCCGATGGTCCGTCGTCTCAGATGGAGGGTCAGGTCGACTCTTCCACACAACAACAGAACTCGGCGAACTCGTCGAAATGGGGATTCCTCGGCTTGCAAACCATAGGCCAGGTAATGGGCAAGGTTTGGGAGTTTTGTAAAGGCGGAGGATTTCGTGGCTTCCAAGCCGGAGGCGGCACAGGATACGAGGTTAACGGTTCAACAGTTACCCCAGCTGTGCAGGCCACTGCTGTTGGCCAGCCGTGGGCTAGCGAGCAACAAGAACAGCCCATCCATTTTACCATGGAGGCCGATCAGGACACGTCGATGCCTCCTCAGGAGACGGTGATAACGCCCATACCGCCACCAGTGCAAGAATTCGTAGCACCCCAGGAGTTCTCATCCCCACTACCCCTACCGATGTCCGATTATATGCCCTATGCGCCCGAGTATCACGAGACGAACAATTCAGATTCGTTGACCCGACCGGCCGTCAAACGGAGACAAGTAAGCGAGATCCAGGACGACCTCAACAGGAACTGGATAATGGTAGACGAAAACGGCAATGGTGGCAGCCCATCGCCCTCCCCTGTCTTGCCTAGCTTTGGCGCTGCATCATCAGGACGGGCAACGCCCGGGCTAAGACCACCATCTTCTCTACGGACAAGGACGACAGGATTATCTTCAAGTAATGCTGCAAGACGTATCACTGCTCCCTCGCAAAGATTTACTGGCGGTCCATCTATGCTGCCCCGGACACGGGCTCCTTCGAGACTATCGCAACATACCGTGGCGCCTAGTGTGGGCGCCCAAGAACTCCCTAGTTTTGGCGCTCCAAGGTCACCACCTGCCAGGGACACGCCGACTCCTTCGTTCTCTACATCTACAACGTCGGCAGCTCCCGTGAGCCGAATACCCCTTCCGGCTTCTGCCGGTGGGGCGCCAGGAAGTGGAGGGGCTCGCCCCAGTTTTGGCGGTCTTGATGCAGCCGTTTCCAACGGCCGCCAAAGTCCTGCTACTTTCAACGGTCGCCAAAGTCCTAGCCATGCAAACCCTACCCCCTTTGCGTTTTCCTCACCTGCCTATCAGCCCTCCTCCAACTCGCGCCCTTCCAGTCGCCAGAGCCTTGGCTATGGTAATGCCGGCGGTGGCAACAGTAACACTAGGCGAAGTCTTCAGGCGCCCATCCAGCTCTCTTCCCCTGTCATCCCCAGACCCTCGTCGAGTTCAGCCGCCAAGGTCCTGAAATCCCCCACCAACCACCACCGCCGCGGTGAAAGCAGCGGCGCTGCCGGTCCCAGCCACAGTTCCTCGGCAAGGCCTGGGTCGTCCATGCGTAGGAACAGAGGACTGAGTCTTCATGGCGCTTATGTCGAGGATGGACTGAAGGGCAGCCCTAGACTGGATGGCGAGGCGAAGCATCTTGCGAAGAAGAAGATGGCTGCCGAAAGGGATGCGGATGCGAATATAGATGCCTTCAATGAGAAGCTGTTGCAGATGATTCGGCAGGGGAAGGAGGCATTGGGGACAAAGGTGGAGGTGCTCGATGATAGGGGTGGTAGTAACGTCGTGTGGGAGGAAGATGAGCTCTGAAGACGCCGGGGTTGCAGAGTGAATCAGGTTGTGGTGATACCCGGTGGCTACGAGGTCAGATGACCTACGATCAGTTGGATAGGCTTTTCTGATATCGGATCCCACTCATGATGAGTGAGTTCAGGAAGCTGCGGTCCAGGCGAAATTCTGGAGAATTACGGAACAGACATTTGTTACAGGTAAACTGTTTTGGGCTGTTCAGACTGGCAGGATGATCAAAAGATTGGCGGAAGGTAGTGTGCTCATGATTGAGTACAATCATTGGGCAGACACGAGAAGGAAGGTAGGAAGGAATGCGCCGGGGGCTCCACGTCATTCGTTCCTTGTTGTTTGCATTCAGGCGCGCGGATCGCATGGGCGCCGGGAGTTTTCTGCTTTGCTGACACGTACTCCATACCTGCTCTTTTGCTGTCCGTTTTTGTTCTTTGATACCATTTCTTGGAGCCCCCTGTTTCGGTTACTTTTTGAGCGAGCAAGTGTGTCCGATTTTGGTGTGTTTTTGTGTGGCTGTTCGTTCCTGTCGTCCGTCCAGGACAGGCAGATTGTTTATATTTGTTAGGGTTACCGAAGTATATCATGGCATATTTTTTGTAATCTTTGGTATCATCATATGAATGATATATAACAAATAGCATCGGGAAGTTGACTCGTGAGGTACAGATTTTGATCAGATTTTTCCCTCTTTTACATGTCCCTAAACAACAAGACATGCATATCTGTCTCTCCGGCACTAACCCTAACCCAGATATTATCGCTGACAAGCAAAGTGTGTCACACCATCCAAGTCCCTTCTCACCTCACAAGAACTCGAGCTTCTCACCAATCACATCAATGTAACGCAACAATCACTCTGTCAGCACAATATGCCAAATCCCATGTTACGCTGAACACATTTACTCACCGCACACTCGGCTTTCCGAAAACGGAATCCGACAAGCGGGAAAATCCCCTTGGCCTAGAGTCGCAGGCACTAAATCACATCACCGTGAAAAATGGCGCCATCAGGTTGGGGAGCCTCGAAAATGGATGGTGATGCTGCTGCCCGTGGTGCGCTTCTCCGCACCGCCAACAGCAACAGCAGCGGCGACAAGACTAAGACAGCAGCGGCAGCAATGACTGTGAACTACCATACCATCAACAACAACAACAACAACAACAACCGCTACGACAGTCCCCGGTCATCCGCAGACCTGACCTACCTCGATCCCGAGCCCTACGACTCCGACAACGATACTATGGGTTCCTCCTCCTCACCCATTCTCGAATCCCAGCAGCAACTTCCCCACCGACGTCAAGGAGAAGAAGGAGAAGACCAAGATGGCCACGCCGCCGCCGCTGACCTTGTAACCACCACCGAATCCCGCTCTCTCACCCGCGGCCTCGCCCAGCGCCACCTCTCCATGCTCGGCATCGCCGGCTCCATCGGCACCGGTTTGTTCCTGGGGCTCGGCGGTGCCGTCGCGCGCGGCGGTCCCCTCGGCGCGCTGCTGGGCTACTTTGTCATCGGCCTGATTGTGTGCGCGGTGCAGTTCGCCTTGGGGGAAGTCGCGTCCCTGTTGCCGGTCACGGGCAGTTTCGTGCGCCACGCCGAGTTTCTGGTCGACCCGGCCTGGGGGTTCGCGATTGGTTGGAATCTGGTGTATGGCAATGTCTTGTCCATCCCGAGCGAGATCACGGCGATTTGTGTCTTGTTTGAGTACTGGACCGAGGGCCGCATCAGCCCGGCCGTGTTTATTGTCTTTTTTGTGGTGGTGACGGTCGGGGTGGGGATGGCGCTCGTGAGGGTGTTTGGGGAGGTGGAGTTTGTTTTTGCGATGCTCAAGGTGGTGCTGGTGGTGTTTTTGATCTTGTTGGGGCTGGTGATTGATTTGGGGGGGATCCCGGGAACGGAGAGGATCGGGTTTCGGTATTGGAAGAGTCCGGGGCCGTTTGTGGAGTATATTGCCACGGGCGATTGGGGGAGGTTTTTGGGGTTTTGGAGCGTCATGACGGGGGCGGTGTTCTCGTTTGCGGGCGTGGAGAGTCTGGCGATGGCGGCGGCGGAGACGAGGAACCCCAGGAAGGCGATACCGAGGGCTTGCAAGCGCGTGTTTGCGAGGGTGGTGCTGTTTTATATGCTGGCGGTGCTGGTGGTTGGTATGTTGGTGGCGAGCGATGATCCGAGGCTCGATGGTAGCGGTGATAGCGTCGCGCAGAGTCCGTTTGTGATTGCGGCTTCAGCGGCGGGCATCAAGGCGATCCCATCGGTGGTCAACGCGATCGTGATTACTTCCGCATGGTCTGCGTCTAACCAGAGCTTGTTGGCGGGCACGAGGGTCTTGTATGGACTGGCGCTGAAGGGACAAGCTCCCAAGATCTTCTTGCGGACTACGTCGTGGGGAACGCCGTACATGTGTGTACTCCTGTTTGGAGTCTTCATGTCTCTTAGCTTTATGAGCCTCTCGGAGCGCGCTATCAACGTGTTCTGGTGGTTGGTACGGCTGACCTCGGCGGGAGTATTGGTGTCTTGGTCATCCATCTTGGTGAATCATATTCGCTTGAGAAAGGCGATGGACAGGCAGGGCATTGCGTATACCAGGCTGCCGTGGTCCAGCTGGTGGACTGGTAAGTTGTTGTCGTCAAAGCTAGATTCCAGATCTGAGACTGATCACTTTCCCGGTTATAGTCTACAGCTCGCCGGTAGCCCTGTTCATGTGCATCGTCATTCTCCTAACGGGAGGCTTCAGCGTTTTTACCAAGGGTAACTGGGATGCCGCTACATTTGTCTCCTCATACTTGTAAGTTCACCTACATCAATCAGACCATAGTCGCAAGGATACTAACGAATGACTAGGGACATTCCGATCGTACTCATCGCCTACATGGCTTGGAAATTTTACAAGAAGACCAAGATCGTGTCCCTGGACGACATCCCCCTTGATATTGCGTTCGAGCAAGCCGAAGACGCCATTTTCGAGGACCCCGAAGAAGGGAAGACGAAAGGGTGGGCACGGGCTGTTAGTTGGATATGGGATTAGAAGGAGAGGCGCTTACGGCCGGTACGTTTACGCAACGCTACGATACCGACGATGACGATCACTTCTGCATTTACACAGCCACAACATAGAGTTATATATCTTGACATTTCCTACATTTCTTCCCTCATCGAAACTTGGTTACCATGTGCTTAAGTATCTGGAGCCTTGTCGAGTCGATGTCCCTTGGATGCGCCGTTACCTCGACGCATTGCGGCTTGAGGTTAGCTGGCAATCTCACAACTACACTCCTCTTCTGAGGCGGTATTATTAGAAACAGTCGATGGTGGGTATTTAATCTGGCTTTTTTCCGAAGGCCAGCGCAGGTGTATACAGTTAATCAACAAACCACCTTATTCTACAGGCGGCATCTATTGGACCCTCGACACGGCCCCGGCCCCGGCCCCCGGCCCTATAGCCAACACATTGTGCATTTTTCGGAACGTTATATCATTTGACGGACCACTTCCTGACCAAACGTGGCCTTTGTCACTTGGCAACGAATACTATCCTGGCCGCATAGGGCGTTGCGTCCAAAGCTCGTATACGGTCCCATCTGTTTCCCACTTTCCCATTGACGATGGGTTTCTGCAACCATTGAACATTATTCAGATGTGATTCTTTATCCATCCGCAGATCTCAAGCACTGCATTTGCAAGTCAAATATATGCTGCCCATGCTGAGTTCGTCGTCGTTTTTATGAAGGGCGTTTATAGCACACGATTCGTCCGTTCGATTGACCAAGACTATCAAAGGGCTGGAACTCTGGCCCTATATATGTCTTCCCAGAAGTTCAGGGCATGATTGTACTGCACCTTCGCAGATAATCAGGTACCGACCGACGGCGGGGTCCATGAAATTACGGAGGCAAGCGGGAGGTGAGATTGCTGATTATCATTTCCGTTTCTAGTCGTCCTGGCATGTCCCTCGTCCGAGATTGGCAGGTTGCTGTTGCGTACATGTCCAGGTTTGGTTTTTCAAGACCCGAATCTCAAACATCGTGGACATTGGCAAAATTGGGTGCATTTTTATCACATCATGTTGAGAAGAGTACATCGCTCATGTTGAGCGTTGTTGGTACGCCACCGATCCCTTGCTTCATTGCGTCTCTCATTGACTTGGCAGAGATATATATAGCACAAGCATACATCCCTTTGGTTAGGTACATACTCGTGGTTTTCCGGCCAGTTCAAACCAACATTTCGAGCATGTTATACCCCATCTTGCTTGACATGGTATCAACACATCTCAATTCAGTCTGTTTGGCCCAAGCCGGGAAATCAACAGCCTACCTTGGCCAGAAACTCGGTATGGCGCTCGAGGTTCCTACGTCTTCACTCCATTGAGGCTCTTTTCCCCATCGGAAAACCGTGCTCATCCAGCTACTTTAGTCCCTGGATCGGCGAATGTGCTACCCCTGCTGGGTTCCCATGTTCTGGGTTACCCTCCCTCGGTCAACCGTCCCCCGCCGCCCCGATCCATGCCTTGGGTTGCATTCCATTGAAGCGGGAGGTCTCAAAGATTCATGGGAATTGGTGTTGCCACTCTTCAGTTGATCAGACAGTTTCCCAGGGTATAAGTTCTGCCTTTTCCAATGTCATCTATCGGAACCGAATTGTGGTACGGAACCCACATACACACAGCTGCGATTCCGGTTCGAGGTGGCCTAAAGTCAAGGTGTCATCCGGTCTTCTCTCACCATCTCCTCACCTTCTTTAGATCTTGTCACATCACTCACTCTCGTTGCCTACGCTTTCCGCGCAGACGGCCACCTTTTCCCGTCTACTTGGCTTTTCTGCGCTTGTCATCGGGACCAAGTAAACTGCTTGCTTCTTCGGCTCAACCCGGTTGTCAAAAATAGAGCACTTCAAACCTAGCGTGGCGGTTGGTTTCATCTTTTCCATTTTATGCGCAACTATTTGAGAATAGTTCAACGTTCTAAACCCCAACGGCTTAGCTTTCGACCCTGAACAAGCATCATGAACAAGGTTGCCGTGCACCACCTCGTCTTGTGATTTTGAAGCTGTGGCTTTCCTTTCTTCTTCTACAAGTGGATATCAAAAAGCAACAACAACTCCCCATTATCTGGGTACAAAAGCCTCCTCCCTGTACCATCAATCTATAAAGACTGGTTTCGGGAAATAAAAGATCATTCCCTTCATACCTGACAGCGTCGATCACCATACCTTGCCCGTGCCCACTAGGTGAGCCTCCTGCTTCTCCCCTGCGGATCATCCCCAGCCAATACACTACTTTGCTACCTTACACGACATCTACAACGACATGACACACGACACATACAACGCAGCCAACCTCCCGTTCATCTATACTACCCCAACCCTTCTGTCCGTACCATCTGGACTTTTGAAATATCCAGAATACAGACTGTGTTTTTGATCGCACGAGACTTGGACCTGACCACAATTTCTAGCCAATTCAACGATCATATTGGACATTTATTCCTCTCTAACGACCCGCCGTCAAAATGAAGGTAAGTAAACTCCGTCTTGTGAAACCTCAACTCCCTTCCTGCACATCTGCAGCGTTCCAAAAGACCAAACCTCACTTTCCTTACCTTCGCCCCTATACCCTAACCTCGACTAACTCCCACACCGCCAAAGACCTCCATCGCCCTCATCACCCTCCTCAGCTTCTTCACCGCCGGGGCTCTTGCTTTGCCTACTGCCCAACAAGCCACCGAGGGTCCCGCGAAACCCAACGTCAACGCCGTCCAGGTCAACTACGGCACCCCCAGGTGCCCCGACCCGCGGCTCGATGCGCTGTGCATGGCCAGCAATGCCGATGCGTACTGCGATGCGCAGGGGTTCCATAATAACTTTATGAAGACTTGCAAGGCGTGCTACTGTGCGCAATGATGCAAGACAAGGGTTGTCTAGCCGATAGTAAAGAAGGATTAGATTAGCGAGCTGTGACGGAGGATTGGATTTGAGAAAAGAAAAAGTGGAAGCTGAGGGAAGATATTATGTGGAAAGTGTGATTGGAGAGAGGGAGATATACCTATACTTGAGCTTGAGAGTGGTTGAGGAAGAGTAGGCAGGTTATTTCAACATCAACAAGGATAAGCGAACTTCGGAATTTTTTTGGGGGACTAGATGGAACATTGTTCTACCAGCTATTTACTACATTGTAAGCAGATTTTCGGATCAAAGACCCAGTTCAAGATCAGTGAATTGAACTATTCCGCTGGGGTATACTGAAGGAGAAAGCAAGCCATGTATGTATGTGATGTGATGAGAGGTGGAAGTTCGTAACTTTCATTCCGTTACCGTACATAGCGGTTGTGGCTAGCCAGGTCTAATGGATGTTTCAGGTAAACATCACATGCTAACCAGCAAAATTGATGGTACCTAGCTTGTGGCCACTAATTTTGCGAGAGCTAGCGTCTCGTGAAGGTGTGTTTCTCTTCTTTCCAATTATCTCTTGCTATCACCCTTTCCGTGATCTTTTGGACGTTTCCGCCAGGCGATTTTGATGGTGGTTTGTCTTGGTCTGGTGAAGAGCATACAGGATGGTACCAGCTCGACTTGGGTGGTCAGCTAGCGAGGGCTGAACGACAGAAATGATAGACATAGAGCAAGTCAACAACACAAGGTTCTATCGCTGATAGTTTTAATCGTCTTGAATTGTTCCTCCGCGGAAATAGCAGATAGTCTGTGGAAGATGCAAGTAAAAACCTCGTCAAGTCACCCGCCCTCAAACAGGCAGTTAGTGATCCCCACACGCTATGCACTCGGACGCATCCCGCGGAACCCACTATTGGGATTTCCCATAACAGCTATAGGTAGCACTTAGATACTGGTATACCTATTCCTAAAGCTATTTAATGGTCCTTATAAAAGTCTTCCCGTAACCAATCCACCGTCCTGGTGATAACATCGCATCGCAAGTTTCCGACTGACGTCTTGATGACAAATCTTCCATCGACATTAATGACGATGCGGTCATTACTTGAAGGCGTTTCGAATGAATGTTGATTGAAGAGTGCAAAAGCATCGCATGTTGTTTGTCTATAGAGGACATAAAACCACCGAGTATTATTCCAGAAGGACCAACACAGCAGTCTCGTCAAATCGCCGTCACAGCCCGAACTCACACCAGCGTCAAATCTATCACGGCGTCAATTGGAACCACAATATGATACACGTGGTTTCTCGCGTATCATCCATGATTATTTACGGAATACTTACGTACATCTAGAAAATCTCGACCAACCACGGGGATCGCTTCACCGGGAGAGGCGGGTCGACGTTAAGAACCCAAGACTGTGGGTAAACGATGAGTCAGCTTCCCCAGTTCTTCTTGATCGACGATATATGTGAAATAAATGCTCATTGTTCGCCTCGCCAAGCATGGTAGAATAAATATCAACATCCAGAACTAAAAAACATAACTTGATTGCTTGTGTCCCAAATCATCCCCCAAAAACCAAACGTCACCATGTGCCCCAACACCGATACCGTCGGCCTCCACGGCTGGACCGCCGTGCCTGTCGATGCCGATGCCATCTTCGAAGGAAAGCCGTACCTCAACGAGCCCACTCCCGTCTCGCTCTCGGATATTGCCTGGCCATCCGATGATCCCATCGTAGCCAAAGTCCAAGAATACGCCAAGGAGAAGCTTCCCATCGAGACCTACAACCACTCCATGCGAGTTTTCCACTGGGGTAAGCTATATCCTCTCATCACCATCCTCATCCTCATCCTCTTCACTCCCCACCTAGTACTCAAGGCTAATTAAACATTGCAACAAAAAAAAAAAGCAACCATTATCGCCCGCCAACAATTCCCCACCCACGCCTCTTCTCTCTCGCCCTCTACCCTTGCCCTCACCTGCCTCCTGCACGACATCGGCACCACCCCGGCTGCCCGCGCCAGCACCCAACTCTCCTTCGAGTTCCAAGGCGGCTTCATCGCCCTCCAGCTAATCCAGCACCAACTCGGCGGCGCGCAATCCCAAGCCGAAGCCGTCGCCGAGGCCATCATCCGCCACCAGGACCAGGGCACCGTCGGCACCATCACCTTTCTGGGGCAGTTGATCCAGCTGGCTACCGTGTATGACAACATGAGCGAAAGGCCGTATTTGGTGCACCCGCAGACGAGGGAGCAGGTGGTCACCAAGTTCAAGAGGTGTGGGTGGAGTAGGTGCTTTAGTAAGTCGCTTAGAGCCGAGCTGAAGGAGAAGCCGTGGGCGCATACGACGCATTTGGGCAGTGAGAAGTTCCCGAATGGGGTGAGGTTTAATAAGTTGATGGAGGAGTATGATGCTTGGACAGAGTGATGGGGAGGTTAGAGAGGGAGAGGGAGAAAGTAGAGAATAGAGGCTGTGTGTCTCTTTGGAGCTTGTGAGGGGGGAGGAAGAAAAGATAAGCAAATAAAAGGGAAAAATGTGATAAGGGGGACTGAGCCCGATTTAATGTAAATGTGTCGTCACGAGCATGGTGTGCAACATGAATGTTTTGTGATCATTGACGGATGAACTGATACTCTGGAGAGAAATAGGTTCTCCGCGCTGTCTAGTGTACAAATTACATGTAGTGTCTGTTTGTTAGACATGGAGGATACCCGCGCTAAGATTGGAGAGAAATATCTTGGGCCAGATATGGGCCTTGCTCGGAAAGATAGCCGTGTCTGAACTCTCACGCCGAACGAGGACTATTCTTTTTCGCTAGAATTTGTTTGGTACCTTGAGAGTTTCTTGCGAGTGAGAGAACGAGATGAATTGCCCAAGACTGGAAAGGAGTACTTACCCTGAGATAGTCTCTCTCTGCACGAGATAAGAGGGCGTCCAAATATGAGGGTGCAAATAGTACCTCCACATATCTCATCACTTTGACTTCTCTACTGCTCTACATCATTACTCACACAACTGTAACTGGCTTACATTTCAAGGCACCGGAACAAACTAATTCCCCACATATCCGGCAGCATGATCTTGTTCAAGAAGTAGGATTTTCCATTTCTTGTCCGCGAAGTGCTCGCGTATGCGTCACGGTAACATTGATGATACATTATTCCCAATACAGCTCAAGCGAGTAGCATGCATGAACACTGATAAGCCCAAGAGCACCGTAAACACCTCAACAATAACAACAGCGCCAGTGGTTTAGTGGTAAAATCCATCGTTGCCATCGATGGGCCCCGCGTTCGATTCGCGGCTGGCGCAGTTCTTTTGACCTTTTTTCTTAAATCCCTATTCTCTGTGCTCCAAATATCTCAGTGCCCTTGGCACAAGGTTTCTTTTTATTCCCGCCCAGTATCCAAAGTCAAACACGGCTCATCTTTATCTACTCAAAATTTGGGAGCTTGGATGGGGATATCATCAAGGGATCCTCCCTGTTTTCGGACATTCATTCCCACTAGTGCAAACCACTTCTTGTCTAATCTTAGCCTCCGCTAAACCGCGCTCCCAGCGGAGTGCTTTCTCCTTCTATGCATTCCTTCAATGCTGCCAGTCACATCAAACTCCATCGACCTCCCAAGCTCCAGTTCGGTCGATGCTCTCCCCAGGCCGACACCCATACCTCTACTGCCCCGCCTTAGACCCATGATATCCATATCTTCCAGTTCTTCATCCACAATCCCGTCCATCTTCTCCAGCATGTCGAGCACCTCTTGCGGCGGCTCCGTCCTGAACAACGCGTGGATATCGGCATAGGGGTTCAGACCAAAGAACCACTTACTGTCCTCTCCGTCACCTGCGCTGGGTGTCGCGGATTTGGCCCACACCCGTCTACGCTCGTAAAGTGCGATCATCAGGAGGACTGGGAAGTTGATGACTTTGATGGCTGCAACGTTGATGTGGTGGAACATGGCTGGACCGACTACCAACTTCAGTGGGAGCATAACTGCCAAAGCGAGTAGGTTGAACGGAGGCGGATAAGCAAAAATGGAGTCGCTCTTGACGCCCTGGAATGTTAGGACAGCACGGCGGAAGTAGATTTCCGCCTGTGCATTGGAGATAATCTTGGAGAAGGTGTTGGTGAGCATGGCGACAAGGATGGTCAAGAAAAGGGTGTTGCCGAGGAAGGCAAACGTCACGGCCAAGGCAGGGCCGAGGATGGTGTGGAAGTCGGCCGTCCGTTCGATGCCGGTGCCATCGAGTCCAAACCAGATCCACAAAAGCCATTTTCCAATGGTGGCCCAGCCTGGACGATCCTCGATGGAGGACTGGGCCGTTACTATACCTGCGGCGACATCGGCAGGATCAGGGGGCGCGCCCGTGCGCATCAGCCAGAGAAGGCCTAGCAAGAAGCCGGTAAAACACCATATGGCGATAAACGTAAGTCGGGTGAAATCACGCATCATTGCGTGTAGGGCGATGAAGACAATGTTGTCTGGCATGAGAGTGAAGGCTATGCGGGTAAGTAGAACCGGGGCGGCGACGCAGAGGATAGGTATAGCGTAGTCGGCCTCGGGGTAAAACCACAATTCCGCAAACCGTACAACGCCATATACTCCAAAGATGAAGGTAAAAGTAAGGTCGAGGAAGCTCCAAAGGTTTTGAGCGTGTACCTCCCAGCCGTGTTCGACCAGAGCGGCAAACTGTTCTAGAACCCAGCCGGTTGAATATATCACAAAGGCAGCCTCGAAACCCCCAAATGGACTTCCACCTCCGTCATAAAAGTCGTTTCGATGTGTCATGGTCAACACATACAGGCCTAGAAGGATGGTGAAGTGGGCGAGTTCGAGAAGATTTCGTAGTCGAGGAACGATCAGTCGGCGATGGTTGAGTATGGAAGCTCGCCGTGGTTCGTAAAGCGATACAGGGTGGTACTTGTAATGATCCGGGAGGATATCGACAAACGAGAGCGGAGTGTACACAACTTGGCCGCGGTAGACAGCGTTGACGATGCGCTGACATGCGACTGACCCGATCAGAAACTTGCTCTCTGACAAAATGGCCAACTCGAGTGCCGTAAGTTTCCGCTCGTGACCGCCACGGTCTTGATACGGCCATTGTAAAGAGCGTCGGTATCGGCGAAGCGGATCGGGTGCGGCATCAAACGGATCGAACCCTGACACCAGAATATTGGCAAGGAGCAGGAGTCCTGGACGATCTGGGTGGTCCTGGTGGAAGCGTCGAAGTACACGGGTAGCCAGCAGTTCGCAGAGAGCGGCTCGAGAGTTGTTGACAGCCACATAGAGGGACTCGTCTGTCGCGGAACGTTGAAACTGGACTCGGTTGGCGAGGAGGCAGTAGACGACTGAGAGGTTGTCGGGACTATACAGCTTCTCAACCAGGGGCCGAACCATCATATTGTCCATGCGAGGCGTCTGCAGTTGGTCGAGTGTATAGGGGTCGTCGATGGCGGCAATCACCAAGCGTCGGATCCTGTGGTTTGCCTGTTAGCCATTGCCAGGCTCTTATTTCCCCCCTTCCAAGCCCTATTCATACCGATGGATGGTGACATAGACCGGCAACACTTGAGAGGCGTCACCGGCCAGGTAGATGAGTTCGGCAGCATCCAGGCCTACTTGACTGCCGGGGGCAATGCGCCCACGGCGACCGAAGAGGGGGGCCACGTTGTTGGATCCGGATTGGTGTTGGAGCTCGATGTCGCTGTTCTCGCTGGTGTAGCTGGCCTCACTGGCGCCGCCGTCGTCGTGGAAGGGGTCGGACTCCAGGGGAGCGGGATGTGAAGGGTCATCGGGGGGTTGTGTGCCAACAGCCATCTTATATAACGACGGTGGTGGTGGTGGTGGTGTAGCAGGATCAACGAAGCAAAGGAGGGAGTTGGAGCAGTCGAGATGACAGGACGGTGACGCCAAGGCACTGGGCATCTGTATCTAGTTAAGGACCGTCATGGCGTCGACGGTGTTGCCCTGCAACATGGAGAAAGTAGTAGCTAATGGTTACAACCCGGATGGCCGGGAGAGGCGTGGAGAGTGGGTTCCGGCACACAGTCGAGGTTGGCTCCATTTGTCATGGTTCATTATCCATCATTGAAGCCCCTCCGAGCCGGTACCGCCAACGGGAGAGGCGGTACTCAGGAGTGCCAGCTAGCCAGGGGGAAACATGGACAGCCCCGGCTTAGTGGGAAGGACGGAGTAATGGAGGTCGTCCCTGAGGGTGGAGCCAGAATCCATTGATGTTCTGGACTCGAGCTGCTTGATCAGGTGGACGATCAGACAGCAAGCAGAAGTGGAAAAGGCGCTCTGAAAAGGCGGTACGTTGGGACGTTGGGAAGAGGATATTAGTCGTCAAGTTGGGGTTGGTTGGCAGTTCCATGAATTGACTGTGCCACACCACATCGCTGCAGAAATACTGTAGTGTTTTCGGGGTATGTTTCAGATCGCGCATCTCATCTGCGGCATCATCTGTTAGTGGAGATATGGCGGGGCTAAAGCACTGCTTAACATGGGCTAACAGTAGCGTTGGTTCCCATAACGTAATTTCTGCATCTTCCGCTTCGGCCACTTCAGCCTTGATCAGCCTTGGCAACTTGGCAATTACGTTACGCGTGATTAGCTCATCACTGCTCGTATTCTTTACACCTCTGCTTGGATATAAGATGCTAGTTCGGTACAGCCAAGGCGCCAGCCAAGCTACTAAGACACTATAAGAAACCAGGGTTCTAATATAGAAAAAAAGCATTTTATTGTACACTATCTTATCTATTATTTTATTTAATAATTAATATTATTTCCATTTGCTTTAATAACTTTTTCTATCCTTTCTGGCATTGAATGAGCCAATTTGAGAAGAAAATCCTCCGGTACTATATCCCAAACTTCTTAAATAACTACTCTGAATTGTAATAGGTTGAGAGATTAAACGTCGTATTTAACTTCAATAAATAACTTTATTTAATACTAAACATTTTTAATTAGTACTAAATCCAGAGAGTAAATTAGAAATCGTCTTTAGCTAAACCTAGGGATTCCTATTAGCTCCAATACTCTCTAAATCTCTTTTATCCAATAAGAAGGAACATTATCATACTGAAAAATAAAGCTATTTTCTCGGCAAAAAGCTATTACTATTAGAAGGATAAAAAAAATATACTTTTAAATAATAATTCCTCCAAACTCTTTTTCCCAAAAGAAATAAGGCCCTTTTCTTCTTCCAACAAAGGATCCCTAAAATATCCAACTATAAGGCTTTCTCTTAGTAAGAACAAAATTATTTAGATTATTATCTTCGTCCAAAATCACCCATTATTTCTATATTAAATTATTAATTACCTAAATTTTATTAGAATTAAGGATATCCTTCTAATATTTTAAACGAGGGCGAAGCCTTCTTATTTCTTAGTATTATTCTATTCTTTCTCTTTTATTAGTAACGCTTCTTTTTATCCTTTTAATTCTTAATCTTCGATAAAAATTTAAAAAGTAAAGTATTTTCCTTAATATTCCGGGGCTAATAATAAAGTAAGGAAGAAGGTAAAAAGGGAAGTTATATTAAGAGATAAATTTCCGTAAACGCTCCTCTTTTATTTACTCTTTGAGTTCGTTTTTTTTTGGTATTATTAAAAGACCTTTTCTTTTTCTTCGCTTTTAAGGGGTAACTAGCCCAGTACAGGCAATTTGGACTTATCGGATAGTAAAGCCGGTCTTCCGTACAATATCTTCATAGGTTATTTTACTATAATCGCGAAGGGTGCGGACTTAAAGCCTTTCATCCCTTATTAAATATAGCGATATCTTTCTTTTTAGTATTGAGGGAGGATTTAAAAGGTTAAGGATAGCGAGACTTCGAGGGATGGTAACCGTTGTTATAGTAGAAAAAGGGATAATAAATAAGGATGAGATAAAATGCTTCTTTAGGCTCCCAAAAGTCCTATTTAAGTATTTTGCTATAGAAACTATTAGAAAGGTTATATTGGAATACCTCGAACTTCCTAATGCCACCGAGTTTACCACCCCCCCACTAATCTGCAAATTCACTAAGCTAACAACTTATATCCAAGCAGAGGTGTATTAAGCGTGTACACTTCTCGTCGCAGATGGCAAAGAACATATTTCCATGTCTTCGGTGGTGTAGTTGCAAAGTCCGAGCTGACCAAAATCAGTGTTGCCCTATCTTTGCCGCGGTCAAAGTTCTTGGAGCACTTCGTACCTGGTCAGATCTGCCGGCCTTATACTGTACATCAAAAACCCTAGCCTGTGCCTCAAACGACGTACTCGAATCCGGCGCATGGGCATAGTAAACTCTCGCACGGTTAGCCCCGAGGAGGTCCAAAGTCTGGCCGATGATGGTGGCTGGTGCTGATGCGTTCTTCATCAAGGTGCGGCAGAGGACGGTCAGCGTTCACTTTGGAGCTAACGATGAAGGCCTTATCAGCTACTTTGCTTTGGCCCAGAAACGTCTCGGTATTCCATGTATTGAGCTCTTGCAAGACTGACAAAGGTTTTGACACTTTTTCAGGAGTGTCCCGTTGGAGGTAAAATTTCTGGCAGTGGTACCAGAGCACCCTGCTCCCAAGGTCAGGCGAGGTGGCATTTGATAAAGGCCCTTTTGCTTTTGAAACTGCGGTTGGCAAGTGTCTAGGATCAACCACATAAGATTGAGCCATTCGAAAATTCGGAAGGCTCGCCTTCTTCAAAGCAGTTAATCCGCTCGCTGATCGTCTCATAACACCTTAGGGTCTTCACAACTTGCATGTTAAATGCTTGGCAAGTTATGTTGAGAACAATCTGCGGAGCAGCCGAAGTAATCGAAGCGGCCGCTGGCTCTGCGAAACATCAAGCCAATATCTCTCCTGTTAGAGGCTCCAAATTATGCGCGCTTGTAAGCTACAGATGTTTGTGCCTTGATCTCTCTTGGCACCGATCGTATGGAGTCGTGTTATTGAGCTTCCTGTCGCTGAATAGGTCGAGCTGCCTAACTGTTCAACTCAAGGGCGTCCACTCAATACGGGGCATGATGTGATGAAAGAAAACCTCGGTACGGGGATAGCGACATCATTTGAACGGGGAGATGAGTGACCGAGATCCATGATGTGTAGGCGTAGATGTCCTTCAAGCCCCTGACAAAACGGGAAAGCTGCTAACGAGAACCAGCTGGCTCCAGTGACTCTTGAAAAAACTAAACAAATCACGGCTACCGGGCACTTGTCAACAGACCAGTTCAGTGTCCCAACATAAGGCCAATGGGTGTGACTTTAACACTTGTACGGATCGCAAAACGAGGCTTGCGTCTGTATGAAATGGTGTTGTAAGAGTGACGGACAACATGCTTGTAACCCGCTGGCCGTCCAAGATGGACATATCAGAACCACTCACGAACACCTCAGTGGCTACACCACGAACAATGGAGATGACCGAGGAGATACAAAACAACCCCACCATGGCTTCGGCGCGAACAAGCTTGTAAAGCTGCGTCGACAAAACGTCACACGCAAACTGCATGTCAAGCGTGTTACATGTGCAATTGTGACTTCGGGTGATTTGCTGGTCATGATCAATATCTTTCCATGACTTGCCAGCTTTTGGGAATGGAGGGCACTAACGAGCTTCAAGGCATTGAACGCTCAAATCCATCCGAGGATATCGGACACAGTGAGGACGACTTCTACTGTTCAGGCAACTTGAAGCACATCCGTTAACAAAATTGAGCAATCGGACCTGACAAAAGAACGAACACAGAGAACTTGAAAAATTAGGAACGACTGAATTACTCTTTGCGAAGCATCTACATCAAGATTGTGTTCACGACAAACACACATCACAGACAACTGTCGATATACGTGCGCAAGTCTAGCTTGGTCGGATTACCTTGACGTTCAACCTTGGCCAGAACCATCCTCTCATCCCGGCGAACTTGCACATCACTGACTACTCCCACAACCCATGAAAGCATGATTCTCCTAGCCCGGAAAAAAACCTCCACAGAAGCCGGTTGGATCGTATTCGCCGTCATCTTCTCCACCTTCAGCTCTGCGCTCATCATCTTCCTCTGCTGGCGAAACACCCGTGGTTCGAGCAAAAAAAGCAGCAGCGCACAACAGCAAAGCGGAAATTCAGAGTCAAGGACAATATCCAGGCGCTCCGTACGCTACTGGTACTATTACCCAGAGTACTTTAGTGGTTACAATGGATCATCAGAGTCATCAGAATATCATTATGCAAATACCGGGAGGGAATATCATCTGGAACAAGCCCCGAATTACTACATCTATCCACCATCATATCCTCCGTGCCCAGATCCACCGCCGCCCCCGCCACAACCACCAAGGACACCGCCGCATATAGCAGTGTACAGAACTAGGCCGGTTAATGTGATGAGCTTTTTGGATCGAACGCAAATGCCGAGGAAGCCACCACCGGTGACAGAAGTTACTTCGCCGGAACAGACGAGTACACCAACACACGAGAGTGGCTCGTCTTCTGCAAGCAATGCTGGGTCTGACGAACCTCTTCCGGATGGGGATGGACCTCCACCCAATGACCCCTCGGGCAGTCCCTCGGACGGTCCTCATCCAGATGGTCCTGCGCCTGGCTCAACTGCACCTGATGCGAATCCCATGGGTGTTCACTCGCCCAAAAAAGACGGTAGCGTGATCTCAAAACAAGACGTTTCTGAGGCACAGGCAAATTTCAGCAAGCTTATGTCAGAAGCAGGTACGATCAGTGAGAGGAATGCACCTTCTCAGGCTGGCTCTGAGCAGTCGATATCGGTGAATCTCGGTCATCGGAGTATGTCAAGGGGTTCGAAGGCATCGATCCAGGAGTCAGTTGCGGATGATGAGTCGAGAGTACGGTCACCTGTATCAGCATCACGTTCACGACACCCACCCTCAGGCTCGGAAGCGGAATCTCAGCGTGACAATTCCGCAAGACGAATTTCAGGTGTTCGTTACGTGAAGGCTCCAACGAATGCGTCGTCAAGAGAAAGGCGCAGCTCCATGGCAGCATCACCACATGGCAGATCTCCAGCATCATCAACCAGCAACTTGCCCATCCCAGACCCTGGAAACATCAATTCCAAACCAAATTCTCATGCCTCACATTCATCATCAAACCCCTCCATACGCTCTCATACATCTCGCAGGCCGAGCCTCAACCCATCATCCCCCGGCTCTCGCGTCCCCTCCCACCACTCGCTGCGCTATGCGGCCTCCAGACACTCAAGTCCGCCCCAGTCTCCTACACATTCCCATCACTCCCAGATTCCAAGCTCCCCAAGCCGCCACAGTCGCAGTTACAACCGTAGCCATAGCTATACCCAAGTTTATAGTAATCCCACCTCAAGGCACTCAAGCCCGCCTCAGTCACCCACACCGCCTCATCATTCCCCG